GTAAAGTGCTCTGAAGATGTGGGGGTGTATAAACACAGCAAGTCATTAGGCCTCTCCACACCACTATGCTGTACAGGCTGGGGACTGCTAATTGAGAAATAATTAACACCTCAGGGTGCAGAGGACAGCTGCCAGGCTTCCCCAGGTTTAGAAGGGATGTAATCATGTGTACAGGGACCAGGGAGAAATAAAAGGCTACTGTGGCTATGCGGATCCTGAGGAATTCTGAAGATTATATTCCAGCCCCTCCACCCCCCTAGAGGAAGGTTTAGTGTCTGTCCTCTAGACGGGCAGATCCAACCAGGCTGCGTATTAGGGGCTTCCAGGGAACTATCAAATACTGATATCTGTGCCCACCTCAAATCCACAGCCAACATCTTCAGGCAGAGAATGTGTGTGGATGAATATGGTGATTCCACTGTAGTGGAGGTTGAGAAGGGCTGCTCTGGCCTGTCTGGCCGCTCCGTGTCAGTGAGAGGAGATGGAGTCTGTCAGGCTAGGGCGGACATGACAAAGGTTCTTGTCGGTTTAGGTCCTATGTGACCTGACCGTCACCTCCTAGCTCCCATTATTTTTTTTAATTTTTTGTAGAGACAGAGTTTCACTTTGTCACCCTCGGTTGAGTGCCAGGGTGTCATACAGCTCACAGCAACCTCCAACTCCTGGGCTTAGGAGATTCTCCTGCCTCAGTCTCCCAAGTAGCTAGGACCACAGGCGCCCACCACAACACCTGGCTATTTTTTTTTTTTTTTCGAGACAGAGCCTCAACCTATCCCCCCTGGGTAGAGTGCTGTGACATCATAGCTCACAACAACCTCCACCTCCTGGGCTCAAGAGATCCTCTTGCCTCAGCTTTTTTATTTTTAGTAGAGATGGGGCTCCACTTTTCCTCAGGTTGGTCTTGAACTCTTGAGCTCAAGCAATCCACTGGCCTTGGCCTCCCAGAGAGCTAGGATTACAGGCATGAGTCACCTCAAGGGTCTGTCTCCCATGCTTATTCTTTTGTGAACTTAGCTCCCACCATAAAGCTCCCACCCTTAGCTCCCACCCATCTTAAATAGTTTATTAGGAAGACTGGTTAGACATCTGTACCTCAGCAGCTAGAGTGCCACATATACCAGAGCTGGCAGGTTCAAACCCAGCCCAGGCCTGCCAAACAACAATGGCAATTACAACCAAAAAAATAGCCGGATGTTTTGGAAGACACCTGTCCCAGCTAGTTTGGAGGTGGAGACAAGAGAATCACTTAAGCCCAAGAGTTTGAGGTTGCTGTGAGCTGTGATGCTACAGCACTCTACTAAGGGCGATATAGTGAGACTCTGTCTCAAAAAAAAAATTGATCTAGGAAATTGACATTTTTTTTTGTTTGTTTTTTTGAGATAGCCTCAAGCTGTTGCACTGGGTAGAGTGTCATGGCATCACAACTCACAGCAACCTCCAACTCCTGGGCTCAAGCGATTCTCCTGCCTCTGCCTCCCAAGTAGCTGGGACCACAGGCACCTGCCACAATGCCCGGCTATTTTTTTGTTGCAGTTTGGCCGGGGCCGGGTTTGAACCCACCACCTTAGGTATATGAGGCCGGTGCCTTACCCACTGAGCCACAGGCGCTGCCCCCTCACTCTTTTTGTTTTGTTTTGTTTTTTTGGTCGGGGTGGGTTTGAACCCGCCACCTCCAGTATATGGGACCAATGCCCTACTCCTTTGAGCCATAGGCACCGCCTCCCCTTGCTCTTTTTTTTTGAGACTCACTATGTTGCCCTTGGTAGAGTGCTATGGCATCACAGCTCACAGCAACCTCAAACTCTTGAGCAACCTCAGCCTCCCAAGTAGCTGAGACTTATAGGCACACTCTACAACACCTGGCTATTTTTTGGTTGCAGTTGTCATTGTTGTTTAGCAGGCCTGGGCCACGCTCAAACCCGCCAGCCTTGGTGGAAGTAGCTGCCGCCATACTCACTGAGCTAAGGGCACCAAGCGACCTCACTCATTCTTCAGCCCCACTTCAAAGGTCAGCTGCTTGACCCACAGGGCTTTGCTCAGCCCCCATCACCCTATTGATTACCAGGTGTTGTTCCTGGAAGATCATGGTGGGCTGAGAGCTTCTTGGGCCAGTATCAGAATCACTAGTGTCTCGCATTGGGTCTGGTGCATTTTAGACATTCAATAAACTGTAGTTGTTACTAGATAGAGTTATATAATATGGAGTTCCCATCTCGAGACATCCACTCTTCTTGTCCCATGGGTCTGGAACATTCTTCCCCCAGATATCTGCAAGGCTCTCTTACCTCCTCAGGTATTTGCTAAAATGTCACTTTCTCAATGAAGCTTTCCCTGATCATCCTACTTTAAATCATAAACACTTGACATCCCCCTCCACTCTCTTTCCCCAGTTAATGGGAATGAATCTAGTCTCTATCTAAAATTTTGATGTTTTGTTCACCATGAATTTTTGCTTTAATTTTGTTTTTTAGAATTTAATTGCATTAAAATACCATTTATCTTGATTACTGAGCTTTTTCTCCCCACGATCCCGCTTAAATGTCACTGTATTGGTTTATTGATTGTTTCCTCTCTTTAAAATTTAAGCTTCACTGAATGCAGGGAATTTTTTTTTTTTTTTGAGACAGAGCCTCAAGGTGTCGCCCTCGGTAGAGTGCGGTGGCATCACAGCTCACAGCAACCTCCAACTCCTGGGCGCAAGCGAGTCTCCTGTCTCTGCCTCCCAAGTAGCTGGGACTACAGGCACCTGCCACAATACTCAGCTATTTTTTGGTTGCAGCCGTCACTGTTGTTTGGCGGGCCCTGGCTAGATTCGAACCCACTAACTCAGGTGTATTTGGCTGGCACCTTAACAGCTTGAGCCATAGGTTCTGAGCCAGGGAATTTTGTTTGTTGGTTTGTTTTGTTCACTAATCCCAGTGTCTACAACAGTGGCTCATACAAGCTGCTCTTTCGTGAAAGAGTTTTTTTCTTGTTTGTTGAAGGATTGTTTGCTTTTGGATAACTAACAAGGAGGCTATTCAAGATCTTTGGCAGTAGAGGAAATCTCTTTAAGAAAATAATTTAGGCTCAGCACCAGTAGCTCAGTTAGTAGGGCACTGGCCACATCCACTGAAGCTGGCGGGTTGGAGCCTGGTTGGACCTGCTAAAACATCAATGACAACTGCAACCAAAAATTAGCCAGGCATTGTGGTGGGTGCCTGTAGTCCCAGCTACTTGGGAGGCTAAGGCAAGACAATCATTTAAGCCCAAGAGTTTGAGGTTGCTGTAAGCTGTGACATTACATCACTCTACAGAGGCATAGTGAGACTGTCTGGGAGGGTGGGTGGGAAGAAAGAAAGAAGGAGGCTCCGCGCCTGTGGCTCCAGTGGCTAAGGCGCCAGCCACATACACCTGAGCTGGTGGGTTCGAATCCAGCCCAGGCCCACCAAAAAACAATGATGGCTGCAACCAAAAAATAGCCAGGCGTTGTGGCAGGGACCTGTAGTTCCAGCTACTTGGGAGGCGGAGGCAGGAGAATCGCTTGAGCCCTGGAGTTGGAGGTTGCTGTGAGCTGTGATGCCATAGCACTCTACCCAGGGTGACAGCTCGAGGCTCTGTCTCAAAAAAAAAAAAAAGAAAAGAAAAGAAAAGAAAAAAAATAGTTTAAACAATTTGTTAAAAATTTCCACCTATGGGCAGCGCCTGTGACTCAGTGGGTAGGATGCCAGCCCCATATACTGAGAATGGCAGGTTCAAACCCGGCCCCAGCCAAACTGCAACTACAACAAAAAAATAGCTGGGCATTGTGGGGGATGTCTGTATTCCCATCTACTTGGGAGGTGGAGGCAGGAGAATTACCTAAGCCCAGGAGTTTGAGGTTGCTGTGAGCTGTGACACCACAGCACTCTACCGAGGGTGACAGGATAAGACTCTGTCTCTAAAAAAACCTAACAAAACCAATTCCACCTTATTTCGTTTCTATAACAGCTGATACCTGGCTGTCCCTTTATAATTTATAATGCAGAGTGAGAACTTTCCCTACCGTTTGATAAATGTTTCCCAGGTTTCATTCATTGCCAAGAAGGTGTTTGTCCAAAATGCCTGTCTAGTTTTCGTTCTTTCTTTTTTTTTTTTTTGACAGAGTCTCAAGCTGTCACCCTGGGTAGAGTGCCGTGCATTACAGCTCACAGAAACCTCAACCTCCTGGACTTAAGCTATTCTCTTGCCTCAGCCTCCCAAGTAGCTGGGAATACAGGCGCCTGCCACAAGGCCCAGCTATTTTTTTGTTTGGTGGGGGGGGAGGTTGTAGTTGTCATTGTTGTTTGGCCTGGGCTGGGTTAGGACTCACCAGCTTTGGCATATGTGGCTGGCGCCATGGCCACGGAGCTACGGGCGCCAAGCCACCTGTTTAGTTTTTAAAGATGGAATTCCATCCTTCACTTATGGAATGGAATGTATGGAATGTGATGATAGGACATAGCAGTAGTAGTGGTCAGACATGGAAATGGTGGGGAGACAAAAATATACATGTGAAGTAAACAGTATTTTACTAAAGTAACAGTTTCTCTTTTTAAAAAAAATTTATGAATGAAAATTTGAATTGCAATAAAGGTATCTTTCTCTAAATATTTCACAATTTTAAAGTTATTTAAATTGAATGTTTGTAAAATCAAAGGGTGGATTAGAAACTACATTGCCCAGTGTGTTGTCATGGTTACGTGGTCGCCAGCTGTCCTCCTCTTCGGGGAGTGGGCAGGGCCCGACAGTGGGAGGGAACACTAGACTCAAATGCTAGGAGGTCGGCTTTGATCATAGAGTTACACCTCCCTAACTCCTAGAAGGCACTTCCGGAAAGGTGATTTACTGATTGCTGCCCAGGCCAATCTATGATCCTGGGGAGAGCGGGATTCTAGCTCTTGGGCCAAACTTCCGAGAAACCTCTCCGGAGTGTCTAGAGTGGGTGGGGCCAAGGCGCCCCGCCCCGTGAGCGCGGCTTTGCGATTGGCGAGGATAGGAGGCGGGGCTCGGCGCAGGCGCGCTGGCCCGGCCGGGCGGTCTGGAGGCGGCGTGGGCTGCGACTGTGGTGGGTGAGCCGGGGTGACAGCGGGACTTGAGGGGCCAGCGGGGTTGGCGGAGGGAAGCGAGGACCCGGTTCGGGGCGCGGAGGCCTAGGACACCGTTGTCCGTTTTCCCACGTACATCTTCTCCTTGAATGGGGCTGTACTGGTCGGTCATAAACTCTCGGATAGTGCCGGTCTTCTAGGCTCGGTGTCCTCTGATTAAAATGAGGGCAGCACTTCCTACTCTACTTCGGGTTTCTAGAAGGGCCTGTTCTGGAAAGACCTTTGGGATAACTCGGTGGCCAGCCAGCCTTCCTCTTTCACGTATGGGAAGGGAAACGGAGGTCCGGAGAGCAGACTGATTGGACCAGGGTCACCCGGCGAGTGAAGGCACAGCCAGGTCTCAGAACTAGGTCTGGGGTTTCATTACTGTTTTATACAGCAAGTTCCGTGGGTCGAACTAAGTGGGATTTCGAGGCAGGGACCCTGCCTTCCAGGAGTGACCCTTCACTCATTTACAGGGTCGCTTGAGACAAATGACTTCACATCTCAGAGCCTCCCTCTGCTACCAGTCAGCCGTAGTATTAATGGCAGGCGCTTTATGGCACTTCACTATGTACCACAGACTGTTGCGAACACTTTATGTACCACGTTCCTGATGGGATTTCAGGGCAGTTGTGAGTCAAATAATCTAACCAAAGGCCTGGGCTGGAAGGGCTGACACACAGAGTAGGTATTCAAAATGTCTGTTGAGTGACTGAATGACTTAGCGGCTTTTTGCCAGAATCTGAATGCTGTACATGTTACTATATTGCTTTAGAGGTGTTGTCTATGGATAATTTTGAAAACTGGAGATAAATTTTTATTCTGCTTTTTGGAACCGAGGGAGTCTGAAGACAGAGGCAGACATTGGATGGGGGGGCTTAAAGCTCTTATCTAAATTTTCCAGATAATTATATCATTGTAGGCTCGGCGCCTGTAGCACAGTGGTTATGGTGCCAGCCACATACACTGAGGGTGGTGGGTCTGAACCCAGCGTGAGCCAGCTAAACAACAATGACAACTGCAACAAAGAATAGCCGGGTGTTGTGTCAGGCACCTGTAGTCTCAGCTACTTGGGAGGCTGAGGCAAGAATCACTTAAGCCCAAGAGTTTGAGGTTGCTGTGAGCTGTGATGCTACAGCACTCTGCCTTGGGCAACAAAGTGAGACTCTGTCTCAAAGAAAAAAATTATATCACTGTACCCTTTTACTTTGCTTTTTATTGATGTATTTAATCAACAAACATTATTAACCACAGTCTAATTATTAGGTGCTATGCTAGATAGACCCTGAAATCTAAAACTGTAGAAAACTTCATGAACTCAGTTTAATGGAGGACATGAAACATCATTCACTTCCAATGTCTAGCACACAACAGTTTATCCAAAACATTTCACTCAGGCTCGGTGCCTGTAAGTTCAGCTGCTAGGGCGCCGGCCACATACACCAGAGCTGGCAGGTTTGAACCCAGCCCAGGCCTGCCAAACAACAATGACAAGTACAACTGAGAGAGGATACCCGAGAAGAGTGAGGTCTAGAACAGGTCTTCTCTAGGAGACCACAAGGGTACACCTGCAGGGTCCTCTCCATGGTGACTCAGGTCTTGGGAATTTGTAAACTTAACTTCATGGAATTTGGAAATTTCTACTTCTGTGAAATCCTATAGTTCTGTAGAGGCTGGAATAGCATCTCCTGCTTGATTCACATTGGCCAATGGAGAAGGGTAGCTGTGGGGTGGAACTTTTTGACTGTCAAGCCAGTCAGGGAGCACGGCCATTTGGAATTCTATGCCGTGAGCTCCCAGCTGGTGACTAAAGCCCTTCCTCTTATAATGAGTGTTCTTTCTCTCTGTTGGGCCTCTTCCTGCAACACAACCAAGAAAACAGCTAGACCTGGTGGCAGGTGCCTGTGGTCCCAGTGGCTCAGGAGGCTGAGGCAAGAGAATCACTTAAGCCCAAGAGTTTGAGGTTGCTGTGAGCCATGACACCACAGCACTCTACCCAGGGCGACAGCTTGAGACTGTCTCAAAAAAAAAATCCATTTCTGAAAATCTGTCCTAAATATATACCCCCCCCAAAAAGGATTCTGTTTACCGTAGATTATGTGTAAAAGAAATAACCAACAATGCTGGTGGTAGGAAAATCTTTTTTTTTTTTTTGAGACAGAGCCTCAGGACGTCACTTTGGGTAGAGTGCTGTGGTATCATAGCTCACAGCAATCTCCAACTCCTGGGCTCAAGCGATTCTCCTGCCTCTGCCTCCCAAGTAGCTGACACCACAGGCACCTGCCACGCCCAGCTATTTTTTGGCTGCAGCCATCGTTGTTTGGCAGGCCCGGGCTGGATTTGAACCCGCCAGCTGAGGTGTATATGGCTGGCACCTTAGCCGCTTAAGCCACAGGCGCCAAGCCAAGGAGAATCATTTTTTATGTGGTCAATCAGTGAAATGTCGTACTGCCATTAGAAATATGTGACTATTTTGTAAAATCACAGAGAAGCATACTCACCTATGGGCAATGTCTAATAAGTCCCTGCTTGTGCTGGGGATATAGTGCTGAGTGTCTGGGGGGAGGACAGGGCACCACATGAGCAGTAACCCCAGAGGGACTGGTGTTTGATAGGGGACGAGTGGGCTGTGCAGGAGAAGCCAGTCTTTTGGAATATGCGGAGTGGAACAAGGAACATTTCTTAGAGGACAGGATAGTAAGCCTGAGGCTTGGAGGATGGAGAGATGTTTGTACATCAAAAAGGGAGAGAGGTTTTGTATGCCGAGGAGATGGTGTGTTTAAGAGCAAGCATGGCACAGCTGGATCAGGGAGAGGGCGGGGGTGAGACAGTCCTGAGGGGGCAGTGAGTGTCTGGGGCAAGACAGGCCACCACACACCCTGAAGGTTAGAAGCTTAGACCTTATTCTAAGGATAGCAAGAGGCCATTTTAAGCAAGAAAAATTATTATTTTTTTTTTTTTAGACAAGAGTCTGAAGCTGTCACCCTGGGTAGAGTGCTATGGCGTCATAGCTCATAGCAACCTCCCAACTCTTGGGCTCAAGTGATCCTCTTGCCTCAGTTTTTGTATTTTTCCTAGAGACTGGATCTCGCTCTTGCTTAGGCTGGTCTTGAACTCATGAGTTCAAGTAATCTACCCACCTTGGCCTCCCAGAGTGCTAGGATTATAGACATAAGCCATCACACCTGGCATTAAACAAGAAAAAATATTATTTATTTTATTTATTTTATTTTTTTTTGAGACAGAGTCTTTCAAGCTATTGCCTTGGGTAGACTGCTATAGCATCATAGCTCACAGCAACCTCAACTCCTAGGCTCAAGCGATCCTCTTGCCTCAGTTTCTTTTTTTTTTTTTTTTTTTTGCAGTTTTTGGCCAGGGCTGGGTTTGAACCTGCCACCTCAGGCATATGGGGCTGGTGCCCTACTCTTTTGAGCCACAGGCACTACCCCAGTTTCTATTTTAGTAGAGACAGGGTCTTGCTTTTGCTCACGCTGGACTCAAACTCTTGAGCTCAAGCAATCCACCCGACTCGGCCTCCCAGAGTGCTAGGATTACAGGCACGAGCCACCGCGCCTGGCCAAGAAAAATTCTTAACATCAGTGCACTGGAAGTCTGTGGCTGCAGTGTGGAGAATGGACTGAAGGAGGGCAGGAGAGGAAGCAGATGGGTGAGGAGGCTGTGGCAGTAGCCCAGGTGAGAGGAGATGGTGCCCTGGGCCTGGTGGAGTCTGTGGAGAGAAGAGGGACAGAGTGCACAGAAGCACAGAGGTGGGACTGACAGGGCCGAGAGGGCAGGGGAGTGTGGGGCATAGAGGGCGAAGTAGTGAACCCTGGTTTCAGCTTTGGGTGACGGGCAGCTTGTGTGCCATTCAGAGTGACAGGTAGCACTGGAGGGGGAGTGGGTTTGGGGCACGAGGCTGAGTTCAGTGTGGCAGGGGGAGTCTGAAGCTTACCTGTGTGGTATGTTCTCCAGAAGGCTATTGGGTGTGTTGGGCTGAAGCTCAGGAGACAAGACACATATACAGTAGAGGGGATGACTTAAGGTCCTCAGCATTGGTGTGCAAAGAACAGGGCTTGCAAAAGAGGCCGGCCATGGAGACAGAATGTCAGCAGCATTTAGGCCAAGTGATTATAGGTGGTTTTCGTCTTGAGGTCGTAGTATGTGCCAGCTACTGTTCTAAGAACTTTTCATTACTCTTCTAAATTCCCAAATAAACCAATGTGGTAGGTCCTGTCATTCCCATTTTATAGATGAAGAAACTGCTCAGTGAAGGGTTAAAGGCCATGTCCTTGGCTACACAGGGTGCAACCCGGGGGAAGCCCAGTGGAATCCAGGCTGCCTGACTCCAGAGCCTGTGTGATCAGTACACAATGGTGTCTTTCCACAGTCCACAGTATGATTTTATTTTTATTTATTTTATTTATTTATTTATTTATTTTTGCAGTTTTTTGGCCTGAGCTGAGTTTGAACTTGCCACCTCCGGCATATGGAGCTGGCACTCTACTCCTTTGAGCCACAGGCAACTGCCTATTTTTTTTTTTTTTTTTTGAGACAGAGTCTCAAGCTGTCACTCTGGGTAGAGTGCCATGGCATCACAGCTCACAGCAACCTACAACTCTTGTGCTTAAGTAATTCTCTTGCCTCAGCCTCCCAAGTAGCTGGGACTACGGGCACCTGCCACAACACCCAGTTATTGTTTTTTCTTGCATTTGTCATTGTTTTAGCTGGCCCAGGCTGGGCTCAAGCCCGCCAGCCTCAGTGTATGTGGCCAGCGCCCTACACTGAGCTATGGGCACCTCCCACAGTATGTTTTTATAATCAGGAAAATATTGAGTTGTTTAAAAACAGAAGTAGTGCTTTCATCTGCCAGGATGTTAAGAATGGGAGGATTTGGACCTGCATGATCAGTGACTGTCTTAGGAATTGGTTGGAGACTGTGCTGACTGCTCCGTGGTGTCAGAACATAGCTCATGGTAATTTCCGTACAACCCTTTTCTCACCAGGTGCAAGTGCTTCCCTGTGCCAGCATATCATGGAAGGGCTGCTGACCAGATGCAGAGTGTTGCCCACCCTGGCCACCTGCAGCTGCCAGCCCTCCAGGTATGTCCCTGGTAGGTTTCACCACTGTGCCCCAGGGAGACGGCAGCGCTTGGTGCTGTCTCGAGTATTCCAGCCACAGAATCTGCGGGAAGACCAGGTGCTCTCCCTGGAGGGCAAAGTTAGTGACCTGACCTGTAAGAGCCAGCGGCTGATGCTGCAGGTGGGCCTGATCTACCCCGCAAGCCCCGGCTGTTACCACCTCCTGCCTTACACGGTCCGGGCCCTGGAGAAGCTCGTGCGGGTGATAGACCAGGAGATGCAGGCCATTGGCGGGCAGAAAGTCAACATGCCCAGTCTCAGCCCGGCAGAGCTCTGGCAAGCCACCAACAGGTGGAACTTGATGGGCAAGGAGCTGCTAAGAGTTAGAGACAGACATGGCAAGGAGTACTGCTTAGGACCCACTCACGAGGAAGCTATCACAGCCCTGGTTGCCTCCCAGAAACAACTGTCCTACAAGCAGCTTCCGTTACTACTATACCAAGTGACGAGGAAGTTTCGGGATGAGCCCAGGCCCCGCTTCGGTCTTCTTCGCGGCCGGGAGTTTTACATGAAGGATATGTACACCTTCGACGCCTCCCCAGAGGCCGCCTGGCAGACCTACAGCCTGGTGTGTGACGCCTACTGCAGCCTGTTCCACAGGCTGGGGCTGCAGTTTGTCAAGGTCCAGGCAGATGTGGGCAGCATCGGGGGCACGATGTCACATGAGTTCCAGCTCCCAGTGGATGTTGGAGAGGACCGGCTTGCCATCTGTCCCAGCTGCAGCTTCTCAGCCAACGTGGAGACGCTAGACTTGTCACAAATGAACTGCCCGGCTTGCCAGAGCCCACTGACGGAAACCAAAGGCATCGAGGTGGGGCACACATTTTACCTGGGGACCAAGTACTCTTCCATTTTCAACGCCCAGTTTACCAACTTCCAAGGCAAACCATGCCTGGCTGAAATGGGGTGCTACGGCTTGGGGGTGACACGGATCTTGGCAGCTGCCATTGAAGTCCTCTCCACAGAAGACTGCATCCGGTGGCCCCACCTCCTGGCCCCATACCAAGTCTGCCTCGTCCCCCCCAAGAAGGGCAGCAAGGAGGCGGCTGCTGCCGAGCTCACAGGGCACCTGTACGACCACATCACAGAGGCGGTGCCTCAGCTTTGTGGGGAGGTGCTGCTGGATGACAGGACCCATCTGACCATCGGAAACAGACTAAAGGACGCCAGGAAGTTGGGCTACCCCTATGTGATAATTGCTGGCAAAAGGGCCCTGGAGGACCCTGCGTATTTTGAGGTTTGGTGTCAGAACACTGGTGAGGTCGTCTTCCTCACAAAAGAAGGACTTGTGGAATTGCTGACCCAAGTGCAGACGGTCTAAAGACCACCCCCCCCCATGCCCCATCTCACAGCCGTGCTGGTCATTCTGACGCGCCCTTTCCTACACTCCCTCCCAGGGCTGTTCTCTCCAGAAGGTGAGACCAGTTAGTGAAACTGAGTCTTATGCGTCATTTGTTCATATGATTTATATTTAAAGTCATTGACTTGCCCTTCCCTGGGCGATCATGCCATTATATACCATTCTTTCTAGTAATAACCTTCCTTTTTTTTTTTTTTGTAGAGACAGAGTCTCACTTTATCGCCCTCAGTAGAGTGCTGTGGTATCACAGCTCACAGCAACCTCTAACTCCTGGGCTTAGGCGATTCTCTTGCCTCAGCTTCCTGAGTAGCTGGGACTATAGGTGCCTGCCACAACGCCTGGCTATTTTTTGTTGCAATTTGGCCAGGGCTGGGTTTGAACCCACCACCCTCAGTATATGGGGCTGGCGCCCTACTCACTGAGCCACATGCACTGCCCTAATAACCTTCCTTTATGGAAGTTTCTATTAGAAAGCTAAATATGAAGAACGAGCCCTGAGTTCTAGTCCTGACCCCTTGGGTAATTCCTTCCCTCCTTTCAGCTGAGTTTCCCACGTGGAGGATGGGAGATGCCTGATGCCCTGACCACAGGCCTCTTGCTGCATTTAGTTCAGAGAACAAGCCCCCCAGCCCTGCTCTGAGAAGCTGGGCCGAGAGTGTGGGGAGAAGAATCAGGAGATCTGACTGCCACCAACTCCCTGGTGACTTGGACACATTCCCTCCCCTGCTGGAGCCTCAGTTTCCTCATCTGTGATACAAGAACATGGAACTAGATCTGTGAAGTGCACATAGGTGTCACTGCGTGGTTCCACGAGAGGTTCCTCTGATCCTCCACAGCCTAGGTTTCCCGGCAAGTTGATGGAATTAGCCGATGGCTCCAAACTACCTCCAGAGACGTGGCCCTACTGAGGCAGTTTAAGCACTGAGATCATGTTCTAGTGATCGAATAAAGTCAATCTTTTGGAATGAGCCTTGCATGTTAATTTAAGACAGTGATAACATGTGCCATCTTAAAAGTCCGATGGCTTCTTACACCTTTTCTCTCTTTTTCTACTTTTTTCATACTCCAAAAAGAAAAAATAAATGTGTGGATGGGAAAATGTGGTTTAAACCATTTCTTCTCACAGGTATCAGGGGCAGCAGCCTTCAACCATCACAGTGACCTCATCCTAGGGGCAGAGTTGGATCCTAGAGCCACAAAGAGGTGATTTTTTTTTTTTTTTTTTTGAGACAGAGTCTCACTATGTCGCCCCTGATCAGTAGAGTACTGTGGCATCACAGCTCACAGCAACCTCAAACTCTTGGGCTTAAGTGATTCTCTTGCCCCAGCCTCTCAAGTAGTGGGGACTAAAGGCGCCCGCCACAACACCCAGCTATTTTTGTTGTTGTTGTTATTGTTGTTGCAGTTGTCATTGTTGTTTAGTTGGCCCATGCCAGACTCGATCCCGCCTCAGTGCATGTGGCTGACGCCATAACCACTGGTGCCAAGCCATCACAAAGGGGTGATATTGATAGCTGGTCTTGGCCAGGTGTGGTGGCTCACGCCTGTAATTCCAGCACTCTGGGAGGCACAGGCAGATGGGTTGCCTGAGCTCAGGAGTTTGAGGCCAGCCTGAGCTAGAGTGAGAGATTGAGACCTCATCGCTACTGAAAAATAGAAAAGTTAGCCAGGAGTGCTGGTGGGCCCCTATAGTCCCACTTAGTGCTGTTATACCAGATAACCCCACCCCTAGTGCACACCGTCAGGGTTTGGGTTTTTTTTCTGAGACAGAGTCTTACTGTGTTGCCCTTCTTAGAATTACATGGCATCACAACTCACAGCAACCTCCAACTCTTGGGCTTAAACGATTCTCTTGCCTCAGCCTCCCAAGTACCTGGGACTACAGGCACCCACCACAGCACTCAGCTATTTTTTTGTTATTGTTGTCATTGTTTAGCCGGCCCTGGCTAAGTTCGAACCCACCCACCACCTGCCCTAACCACTGAGCATGGGTGCTGAGCCACTGTCAAGTTTTCTAATGCAGATTCTTGCCAAGCCCTAATGGCTCCCAGCCCTGCCATTGGAACTCTGCACCCAGGATTCCTTTAGCATACTTCAGATTTTCAGGCCAGGAAACGTGGATGCTCAGAGCAAACCTAGAATAGGGAGATTACAAGGCAAAGGGTCATACCCTTGCTGCACGCTGGAAACACCTGGGCCTCACTCAGAGGGGCTGGTTACAGTGTGGGTTGTGGGCTGTGGCCTGGGCATTAGGAGTTTAAAACTTCCCCAGATGGTTCTAATGTGCAGTCAAAGGCAATTGAGAACCCCCTGGTGTAAGAGACACCTGTTCTGAGCCCACTTTGCAGTTGGGCATTTCTTTGAGTAATTTCAGTTGTATGTTATCAGCTGATCCAGTCACTCTGCTTTTAATGCCCTGGGTCTGCCATGTGCCATTGTGCTGGGAGGCACTTTTACATACTGTTTCCAGGCCTTTCAGCGGTGCAGGGTAGGTGCTATTTTTTTTTTTTTTTTTTTTTTTGAGACAGAGTCTCCTTTTATTGCCCTCGGTAAAGTGCTATGACATCATAGCTCACAGCAACCTCAAACTCTTGGGCACAAGCCATCCTCTTGCCTTGGCCTCCCAAGTAGCTGGGACTATAGGTACCTGCCACAACACCTGGCTAGTTTTTTAGAGATGGGATCTTGCTTTTTTTTTTTTTGAAACAAAGTCTCACTTTGTTGCCCTCAGTAGAGTGCTATGGTGTCACAGCTCACAGCAACCTCAGACTCTTAGGCTTAAGCGATTCTCTTGCCTCAGCCTCCCAAGTAGCTGGGACTATAGGCACCCACTGCGACGCCTGGCTATTTTTTGTTGTTGTTGTCATCATTGTTTAGCAGGCCCGGGCAGGGATTGAAGCCACCAACTTTGGTGTATGTGGCTGGTGCCATAACCAATGTGCTACAGGCACCGAGCTAGGATCTTGCTCTTGCTCAGGCTGGTCTCAAACTCCTGAGCTCAGGCCATCCACCAGCCTTGGCCTCCCAGAGTGCTGGGATTACAGGCCACTGTGCCTGCCAGCCTGGTGCTGTTATCCTCATCTTCCAGATGAGGACACCTAGGGCTCTGTTTAGGTGACTTACTCAGGGAAGTGTGGCTGTAAATGATCACACCTGGAATCCTGGCACTGGCCAAAAACTGCCCTACCCACTGCCTCTGTCTAGGCAAAAGTGATTTCAATAAATAAAACTATTGTTTGTGTCTGTTTAATCAAGTTAGCCTAAAGTATGTTTAAAATTAGAATTCATGCAAATGGATGATTTACATAATTTTTTTAAACTTTGAATTAGTGCTCCATGAGTTTGCTTATGTATGTATTTATTTATTTTTTCTTTTTGAGACAGTCTCACTTTATCACCCTCGGTAGAGTGCTATGGTGTCACAGCTCACAGCAACCTCCAACTCCTGGGCTTAGGTGATTCTCTTGCCTCAGCTTCCTGAGTAGCTGGGACTACAGGTGCCTGCCATAACACCCGGCTATTTTTTGTTGCAGTTTGGCCAGGGCTGAGTTTGAATCCGCCACCCTCAGTATATGGGGCTGGCGCCCTACCCATTGAGCCATAGGCACTGCCCCTGAGTTTGCTTATTTAGAGAAGACTAGTCTAATGTAAACACTTTTAGAAACCAGATCCCAGGAATAGAGAACCAATTAATTTTGTGTGTGTGTGTGTGTGACAGTCTCACTGTGTCACCCTTGGTAGAGTGCTGTGGTGTCATAGCTCACAGAAACTTTAAACTCTTGGGCTTAAGCTATTCTCTTGCCTCAGCCTCCCAAGCAGCTGGGACCACAGGCGCCTGCCATAACACCTAGCTATTTTTTGGTTGTAGTTGTCATTACTGTTTGGCAGGCCTCGGATGGATTCAAACCTGCCAGCTTCTGTGTATGTGGCTGGTGCCTTAGCTCCCGAGTTACAGGCGCTGAGCCTTTGTTTTTTGTTTTTGTTTTTGTTTTGAGACAGAGTCACAAGCTGTCACCCTGGGTAGAATGCTGTGGTGTCAGAGCATTCCAACCTCCAACTCTTGGGCTCAGGCAATCCTCTTACCTCAGTTTTTCTATTTTTAGTAGAGACGGGGTGCGGGGTGGAGGTGGGTATGTCTTGAGTTTTGCTCAGGCTGGTCTAGAACCTGTGAGCTCAAAACTGTCCCCCCACCTCGGCCTCCCAGAGTGCTAGGATTATAGGCATGAGACACCTCGCCCAGCCGAGAACCAATTAATTTAATTTAATTTAATTAATTTATTTATTTTTTGGCCAGGGCTGGGTTTGAACCCACCATCTCTGGTATATGGGGTTGGCTCCCTACTCCTTGAGCCACAGGCACTGCCCAGAACCAATTAATTTTAAACTCTTTGTAAATAAGTGAGTCCTAAAATGACTTGAAGATGATATAGAATCCTGGAACTTTAGAATGGAGGGGAACCTGGAGCCAATCTTTCCACCTCTCGGTACACATATGGGAAGCAGGCCTGGAGCAGGAATGAACTTGCCATGTGTCATCTGCCTAGCAAAATGCAGGCTGGGTGCCAGGTCCCCTCTGGTCAGTTCTGTTAAGGAGTGGCCCAGTCTACCTTTGAGCTACAAAGCTCCTAGATTTTCTGAAACAGGGACCTATCTTCCTTTTTTTTTTTTTAATTTTTTTTTGTAGAGACAGAGTCTCACTTTGTCACCCCTCTTAGAGTGCTGTGGCATCACAGCTCACAGCAACCTGCAACTCCTGGGCTTAGGCGATTCTTTTGCCTCAGCCTCCCAAGTAGCTGGGACTACAGGTGCCTGCCACAAGGCCCGGCTATTTTTTTGTTGCAGTTTGGCCAGAGTGGGGTTTGAACCCGCCACCCTCGGTATATGGGGCCGGCGCCCTACCCACTGAGCCACAGGCACCACCTGGGACCTATCTTCTTTATTTCTTCTTTATTTCACAGTAGGGAGATGAGTACAGGAAGGACAGTGATTTGTCCAGCATCAGGCTGAATGAAAACCTGGGTATCCTGATCACTGTGCCAGTGTTTCTTTAAGTAGCCAGGGGCAATGTGATTTGGAGTGAAGATCAGCGCCTTGGAGAGATGTCATCCTCAATTCCCTACGCAGTGGGGATGTAGCCTCAGACTAAATACTTGCCCTTTGTGTGGCTCAGATCTTC